ACTTAAGCAAAATGGAAGTGCTAAGAAGCAGATACTGGTTTTCTGGTTAACTGATTTTGTTCAGTGATTCCTATGAAAAAATTTTAACAAAGACATTAGAGGCAGTATCCAAACTAAATAAATAGATATTTAGGAGGATGCCACAAAACCTGTTGAATTTCTTAAAAATAAAGGAGTTTGGACTCCTAAAATAGTAAATAAATCCACCAAAAAAAAAAAAAAAAAAAAAAAAAAAAAAAAGAACACATAGCAGCCATAAAGATCTTTTTTAAAAAATGAAAAATCCTTCATCAGTTTGCTTTTAAGTAATCCTTTTAAAACTCTTCAACTACTTCCCATTGCTCTGAGGATAAGATCCAAAATCTCTAATTTGAACTACAAGCTAATTCATTGATTTGGGCTTCCCTGGTGGCTTAGATTGTAAAGAATCTGCCTGCAATGTGGGAGACATGGGTTCAATCCCTGGGTTGGGAAGATCCCCTGGAGGAGGGCATGGCAACCCACTCAGTCGGACACAACTGAGCAACTAAGCACAGCACAGCAACTCATTGATTTAGTCCAGAAATACTGATGAGTGTCTATTATGTATTTCAGGCTTGGAAAATTCAGTGGTGAAGGAGTGGGGCTAAGCCTCAGTTCCCACAGAACTTTACACTGGGAGTGGGCCAGTGGGAAGACTGACAGACTATAAACATAGAAATACAATCAGTAAACATCATAAGCAAATAGACTAGATAAATTCCAGTGTGATAAGTGCTATGAAGAAAATAAAATAGAATGATTTTCTAGAGAAAACAAGCTATTCTTTCAGTTTCCTAGTCTCCATTTTCTGACCGCAGGTAATTTGTATAGGTTATTCCCTCCCTCAGGGCTCCTCCCTTATCTTCCTTTCCTCTCTAACCATCATTTTTCCTTCAGCTCAAGTCACAGCTAAAAATGGCAGCTTTTCTAGGTTAAACGTTCCTTTCATATATCCCTCCTATTGTATCCATGTCTCTTTTGTAATGTTCATTACATTTAAAAGTATTTAGTCAATGTCTGTCTTGCCACAAGGGCAGGGACTTGTGGTTTGTGATTCACTGATCTATTCCCAGCCACCATTTAATATCTGGGAAATACAGCAGATGGTCAATCTACTGTAGATGATCATCATATAGTAGATGATCAATACATTTTGCTGAATAAATGAACAGAAGGAAAATTGGAATATTCTTTTATTTTTCTCTGTTAAGGAAGTGATAAAAATGATGTGAACATCACACATATGTAAAAAGCACAAGAGAGAGATGTAATTAGGCTAGAGAGAAACTCAATGAGAATTATTCAGTGGTTGCTTCCTTGGGTTCTAGTGTGGCATTGAACGCCATTATCGGATAAACTGTTTTGAGAATTCATTTCCTAGATGTTGGAAGTAAGCACTCTCTGGCTTATAAAAAGCTTGAAAGAATACACCGGGGAGAGAGAAGAAAGAAAGAAGAGAGTAGACTTGTTGAAACATGGAAGGAATAAGTAGTTGGGGAGATATTCGTTTTTGGTTTTTTTTCCAGATTCAAACAGACTTTTCTTTCAAAATAAAAATTGCCCCTCTCCCAATACCAAGTAATAAATGCATATTGTAAATATTCAAGACAAAACAGAAAGAGGTAAAGAAGTCAAAATGACTAATAATCCTTTCATTTTATTTGCATACATACTCATCTAGACTTTTTTCTATATATATATATATACACACACACATGTATCTTAATATAAAAATAGAATATGTACTATTTTATAGATTGTCTTTCTATTTAAAAACATATTTTCAGATCTACCCATTTCTTTAGCTACTCATTTCTAGTGGCTATGTAGTAGTCCATTATGTGGATACACTGTAACTTATTATTGTTGAATATTTTTCTGATTTTTCAGTATTTCAATACTATACAATTAATTAAGATTAACACCTTTGTATATTTAGTAGGTACACTTTTGCAAACTTGTCCACTTATTTTCCTTAAAATAAATTTCTATATGTGGACTTGTTGGTCAAACCATATGGATGTTGAGGCTTTTGATACATGTTGCCCGATTACCTTAAAATGGTTGTATCAATTTGTATTAGTAGCATACAAGTGTGCCCATTTCATACCATCTTTACCAACACTTAATATTATAAAATGTTTAATCTTTGACATTCTGCTAGGCAAAAAAAAGATATCATTGTTTTTATTTCTGATTACTCGTGAGGTTGATTATTCACTCTGATTACTATTATTGTTATGTTTATCAGCCAAATGTTTTCTCCTTCAAATTGTCTATTCATGTCCTTTGCCTATTTTTTCATTGGAGCACTTACTTTTAAAAACATTTATAATAGTACTTCATAGACTACAGATCTTCCTCAATTTATGATGGGGTTATGTCCCAAAAAATCCATCCTAAGTAGAAAATATCCTAAGTGGAAAATGCATCTGATGCACATAACCTACCAAACAGCATAGTTCAGCCTACTGCTGCTGCTGAGTCGCTTCAGTTGTGTCCGACTCTGCGTGACCCCATAGATGGGAGCCCACCAGGCTCCCCCATCCCTGGGATTCTCCAAGCAAGAACACTAGAGTAGGTTGCCATTTCCTTCTCCAGTGCATGAAAGTGAAAAGTGAAAGTGAAGTTGCTCAGTCGTGTCCCTCCATGGACTACAGCCTACCAGGCTCCTCCGTCCAGGGGACTCTCCAGGCAAGAGTACTGGTGTGGGGTGCCATTGCCTTCTCCGATAGTTTAGCCTAGACTACCTCAAACACGCTCAGATAATTTACATTAGCCTACAATTCGGCAAAATCATCTAACAAAAAGTCTATTTTATCATAAAGTGATGAATATCTCATGTCATTTATTGAATACTGAAATACAGAATGGTTGTGTGGGTACAGAATTGTTACTAGTATTTGGGTTATTTACCCTCAAGATGTGGTTGACTGTGAACTGCAGCTCACTGCTGCTGCCCAGCATTACCAGAAAGTATTGTACTGCATATCGCTAGCCCAGAAAAAGATCAAAATTCAAAGTCTGAAGTACTGAATAAGTATCACTTTATACTATCTTAAAGTCAAAAAAATTGTTTAAGTCAAACCATCATAAATTGGACACTGTCTGTAGTAACATTAGCCATACATGCTTATCATATATTTATCATATATGCAGCATTTTTGCCAATTTCCCTTTTTATTATAAACCAGTACTAATCCTTAGCAATCATACTTAAATTATTTTTCTCAGTGTATCATTTGTCTTTTAATTTTATTAGCATTGTGTGTTGATATTCAGAAGCTTTCATTTATGAAGTTGTATTTAACAGTAATCCCTTTTGTGGATTTTGTGTCAAATTTAGAAAGTCCTTCCACATCCCCAAAGCTATGGACATATATACTTATGTTTTCTACTTCTTTTATCATTTTATATTTTACATTAAGCCATATTTGTCTCAAGAATATGTCAAGGAGTGGCTAATGTTATTGCCATAATCTCAATATCAAGCTTAACAGCAACTGCTGGCCACTGAAGAATTCACTTTACACTAGGTAAAAAGGTAAAAGTTCTAGTATATGATTACATAATATAAGACAAACACTGAGTAGAGACAAAGTATCTAATCCACATTTCCATACTGTCAAAAATGGTAATATTAATATCAAGAATGCTTGAAAGTTGAGCAGGTAAGTATGAGGGATATTGTTGTAACTGCTTGGAGTGAAATACATATCTGGCTGATGAAATGGCCATCATGCTGAGGCTGGCACTCTCTCAAATAATATTTGAGGTTCTACTATGAGCTTGTTGGGGATATAACAGTGAACAAGAGGCTTACTGTTAAGGGGGTGGGGGTAAACAAATATTTTCAGATGAATTTCTTTAAAGAAAATTAAGCTGGGAAGGGGATGTTGTTGTTGTTGCTGAGTTGCTAAGTAGTGTCCAGCTCTTTTGAGACCCCATAGACTGGAGCCCACCAGAGTCGCCCGTCCATGAGATTTCCACAGAAAGAATACTGGAGTCAGTTGCCATTTCTTTCTCCAGGGGAATCTTCCTGACCCAAGGATGGAACATGTGTCTCCTGCGTCGTAGGCAGGTGGATTCCTTGCCATTAAGCCACCAGGGAAGCCCAGTAAGGGCATGTGAGAAGTTGTATAGGAAGTTGTATAGATAGGGTGGTTAGGGGAGTGTTTTCTGGGGAGAAAATATAGATATATATATATCTATGTGTATATATATATGTATATATATATGTATTGTGTATATATATGTATAAATATGTATTGTATATATATAGTATATATATATGTATTGTATATATATATGTATAGATAAGAAGTTGTAATAGGAAGTTGTATAGATAGGGTGGTTAGGGGAGTGTTTTCTGAGGAGATGACAATTGAGAAAAGGTTTGGATGATGAGAGCAAAGATATGAAGAGGAAAATGCCAGCCTAAGTAAAGTTGTAGAGGTGGGAACAAGTTTAGTTCGCTGGAAGAATACTAAGAAAGCCAGTGTAGCTGGACTGTTACCTGAAAACACAGAAAACAGAAAATTGAGAAAGGAAATGAGATAACATCCTAAAACTGTGGTTGTTTTTCTTAACTGTGAAAACGAGTTGTTGCTTACTAGCTCATACAGTACCTTCTTTCATGCATTACTATCTAAGAAAGGTCTTCCTTAACCGCCCTTAAAGTCCAACGTTATCAGATTTTCCCACCCTTTTACAAACACCGCCCCTTTTCAAGAATTTCAGAATTACCATCTGAGAGAGGCCACCTCTGACCACTCTTTAACACTGCAATTCCCTTTTACCGCCACCGAGCGCTCTCCCACCCACCTTCCCTCGCCTTATTTTTCTCCCTAGCATTTGTCATTAATTTTATGTTATATATATATATATATGTTATTATTGTCCCTCCCCCAAGAATATAAAGATACACAAGAACTGGGATTTTGGTCTGCTTTAATTTGCGCTGTATCCCCAACATCTATACTAGTGTTTGACACCTACAGTTGGTATTCAATAAATGTATTCGGATAAAGGTAGGATGCTGTATTAACCAGTCTTGACTGTGTGAATCGACGTCAGGTTAGACTAATACCGCGTTTCTCACTCTCTGAAAGGGGCTTCCAGCAGTCATACAGTGACGTCCTCCAGTTTTCAAAATGGGAAAGGTTCTCACAGTTCTCAGAACGCCAATTTCTCGCCACAATTCAAAATGGCGGAGGAGGGTGGGGCCTGTCACATGGTGGGCGGCACAGCAGCTTTCCTTTTCCAGGCCGCGGCCCGCCCTGCCGCGTCGTCAGCCGGCCACCTACTCCTCTCACCGAGGGTTTTTCGAGGAATCGCCTGGGATTGGATAATCGGCTGGGAGTGGATAATCGGCTGGGGCTGCGGGGCCAAGACGCGGCATCATCACTTCCTGTTGTGGGCAGGCGTTTCCTGTCGCTGCTTGGTAACAATGGGGAAGATAATGGCTGCCTGAGCAACGTCTCCGAGCAGGCGCTGGGCTAGAGGCGGGTCTCGACCAGCGACTCATCGGAGGCGGGCTTGAGAGCTGCGGCAGGGGAGGCGCGCAGGAGCCCCGGCGGCGGTGGTCGAACCGACCGAGTCGGATCCCGACACCAAAACCGGGTAAGTGAAGCCTTGGGAAACGGATGGAGAGCGAGAGGAAGACAGCGAAGCCCCATCTGCTGCTTTCTCTCAAAATGGCCTGAGTGGTGCATCGTGGCGGAGGCTCAGCGCCGCCTCCGGACCCCAGGCACCGGTTGCTGTGGGGGGCTCCGTGGCGTAGTCTCCGCTGCCATTTTAGTTGGGTGTATAGTCGACAGGCTTTTTTAAGAAGGGGAAGGAGGAAGGTAGTACTTCCTCTCAGTGGCCGCGCGAGCCGCAGCTGGGGCCCTCCAGAACCTTAAGAATTTGGGGGAGGCGATTTTCGAGTGTTGGCCTCATGCATGAGAATCTTTGATCGTCTCAGGTTTTCCTCTCCTCAGTTCTCTGGAGACTTCCTTCTCCTCCTCCTCCTCCCCCTCTCTTTTACATGGCGGGCTTGGGTTTAGGAAATGGGGAAAAAAAATCAGACTGCTCTAAGTTAGATGCTGGGAACTGTCGGGCCTTTAGATTTCCCAGGATTTGCAAAACCCCATTTTGAGCCTTCTGCTTCTGCAGGGCACTATCAGTTAGGCGCCCCCTGAGGCCACGATGACATCTTCCCTGAGGATCTAAGACAAATGTGGTTTACTCCCTTGCTTGAATAACCCTGGCGTATCCTTTGCCAGATACCACTCCACGGATTCCCCCCAAAAGGGAGGGAAAAGCCGTTGCGTGTTTGTTGTTTTTCCCTGGCTGAGGATGGGAATTGGGCCAAATGATTTTGAAGTTAATTTCCGTTCAATCCTTGCACAACCCAACCCCTCCCCCCTCAAAAAAATGCCTAAGGGTCTCGGCTTCTGCGGGCGGTACCTGCCACGTACGCCATAGCTTTAGTAACTAGTATTAACCGGTTGGGCTTCTGCTTCCTGAATACTCCGTCCCTTTTTCCCTTATGCTGATTAATTTCAAGATGGAGGAGACAGCCACGTTCCTTCCCTAGACAGTTTCACCATACTTATTCCACAGGTTAGTCCGGGAATCTGAGGCCTAGCAGGCTTGTCTATTTAGGTCGTTCTTTCGTTTTGCGGAAAGAGGAAGCATTTATATTAGGTTGTCATTCACTCTTAGCGAGGCCCCACAATTATTTTTTCTTTTGCTGGAAATAAGGAGTCCGCATTTCCTGAATCAGAATTAACCGCAGTGGCTTTGGATGATTGAAAGGAGGAAGAAATACACTACTACTAGTCATTTTTTAAAACAATTCTTGTCATTATTAAAGACAAAATACTCTTATCACCCCATCAGGTACATTATGTCCGTCCTGGATGACTTGAGAGCAGACAGGCACAGTTATCGCTGCCCCAGAATCAGTTTTCTAAGTTGTAGAAATAAAGTACCCAGGAAGACCAATCTAAATATTTTTTAAATTTTATTTTAGGATACTCTTCTCTTACTGAAAAAGTGTTTTTCTTTAGCCTAAAATGTCCTGATGATCTTCATACTTTAGTTCCTGCCTTAGGCTAGTGTAACGTACCAAATAAGTTATTGAAAGTAACTGTGAGAATCTGAAAATAATTACTGATCTGATGCATAAAAGCCCATTTTAAATAAGTTTATATTAAAAGGTAGATGGGCTGTCAGCCTTTAAAAGATATCTTCTAACATATAAGATTGTTGGTTCCCTCTGACCTTCTTAGTCTCCCCAAATATCCTAATACTAATGTGGAATTAGGTTGAATTAATGGCGGGTGTGTATCTAAAATACATAGGATATGTAATTTTTAGGATGTGTCTGTTTCAAAGAAAATGTCTATCTTATAAAAGAGGAAGAATAATGGATTCTTTTTTTTTCTAGAGCAGAGAGTGAAGAAAACTAAAATCCAGTTTATTGTATACAATACTATGTCATAACAGTCAGGTAATTTTATTTTTTGTTGCGTCTCCTGATGATTTATGTGTAGAATGCATGTTTTAAAATATTTATTCTGTTTTGGGGGCCCTGTAATTGAATGGGCTTCTTTGATATATGTTAGTTGGTGTCGGGCATTCTTAATGGTGAAAATGGGTGTTTTTCACTGGGAATTCAAAGGGTAGTGTTTCTGAGTAGCTGGAACTGCATTAGTGCTCTGTCAATTTTCTTCTTTTAAAATAATGTCTGAAATTTACCAGTACCTGTATAGAACAGAAAGAACAAAATAGAAATTTGCTTCCTTTAATCACTGTTGGAATGGGATGAGTATAAATAAGTAGTATTTAAATGTTTATTGAATAACTAAATGAACTAACAGTAGACTATATTACAGGAATATAATTATTTTGTGTGACATTTTATATTTTTCCTTCAAGATCCGAAGTCATAATATATAATATTCTTAATTGATATCAACCTCTTTCATCATCATTGTTAAGGTAATCATATAATTTATTGCCCTAGCTAGGATGCTCTAAAGAGAAAAAGGAACATTATTTTCCTAGACAACAGGTGCAAACCAGGATTGTCCCATGCAAACTGGGATGGGTAATTAGCCTAAATTCATAATTAATTTGTATTGAATACTTACGTGCTAGGTTCTGTGCTTCACATGCGTGATTTTGTAATCATTACAGCCAAGCTTCATGAGGACGTTACCTGTTTTACAGAGTAACTGAGACTTGGAGAGATTAGATAATTTGTTCTCAATTAGATAATTTGGTCTCAAAAAGCTAATAAGTGGTAGGAGCCCCCATTTTAACCCAGGTCTGTCTGATGCCAAAGTCAATAAACTTTTATATCCTTAGACTTGTTGTTAGATCAGAAATGCAAAGAAAATGAAAGGTTGTAATAAAAAAAAATCTATAGGTTAGGTTGCACCAAAAACTTCTGTTAACACTCGAAGGAACTTTGCTTTATGAAGCAAGTGAGACTTATCTGACGATTGCACTCTCTCTTTCAGTCTGTCAGGGTTCTTGTTTCAGCTGTTACTGCTTGTAATATAATTTGATAAAACAATTTAAAATTAGAAGTGGTTTTAAGAAGTAGCTTGATAATGAAGTGATATCTAGAAGTGTTAGGCTGATTGGATATATTTTTCATGTTAGTGAACATGTAGTGAGGCCTTATATACAGTAGATCAAATGGGACATTTGCATTTATCCAATTACAATATGTGTATTACTTTTTCCATAGCTGTAGTGGATTGGGAAATAGCAAACCACTCACCAACCTCCTGTTCCCTTGATTTACCATAGAGTGGATAACAAATTAGAACATGAAAAGTCCTCTGTCAAAACCAGACCAGTGAGATGCTAGAATTTTGGGCCAGTGCCTAGGACTGCGACATGTTTTTCTTTTGTAAATCTATTTCCATAACATTTCTTTGTAATACAGACATTTCCAAACCTTATAGCCCATTGATTTAAAGTACCCAGTCTACATGATCCTTTGACATTTTGATACCCAGTGTAAGAAAGCAATAACACTTCTATTTTTTCTTTCATTTTTTTGAAATAGAAGTTTCCCAGATAATAAAGCAATTTATTTTAGAGGTAAAAATCTTGACAATCTTCAACAATTTGGGAGTATATTTGTGAACTTGTGGTTTTGCTCCTGAAATAGATATTTGATGTTTTTGCTGTACATAGTCTTATATTTTGGGTTTCCCTGGTGGCTCAGTGGTAAAAAAAAATCTGCCTGCCAGTGAAGGAGAAGTGGTTCAATGCCTGGGTTGGGAAGATCTCCTGGAGAAGGAAATGCCCACTCCAGTATTCTTGCCTTGGAAATCCCATGGACAGAGGATCCTGGCCGGCTGTAGTCCATGGGGTTGCAAAAGAGTTGGACGTGACTTAGAGACTGAACAACAACAAAGTCTTGTATTTTAGTGCTTCAACTCAAGGGTTTAATTTCATTAGTCAAAATACCACATATATTTGGAAGACAAATATCTGTAAATAGTACATGTGTGTATATAGATTTGTGGGCTTACTGCAATAATTTCAGAGCAGCAGTTTGGACTGCTATTACAGCATTTGCATGATGATGAACATGATCCATTCTGTGGTGGGAAGGAGATATTTGTGTTCAGTGTTTTCAAATTTTTCTGAAATGAAAAATGGTCTCTTTCCTCTTGCTCTACATTTGATTCTGTGAAGAAAGGGTTTAACTCGTAATTACATTTTTCATTTTGTATTGACCAAAGTTCCTGTTAGTGTCAATTACATTTGAGGTCACCTTATAATTTATCCAAACTGGGACACTTTTAAGAGTGAAAGAAGGCTGTGTTAATAATCACTACAGGACAACAGTTGTAGACTGCTACTCATATGGACAAACTGGGTATATGTGGTCACCTTTGTTATCATTTCTCTGTAGGAGCACTGGTTCAGAAATCACTGTTGTCAATGTGTTTGGTTCTGTAACACAAAATTATTTTCCTCAGACAATATAGGAGTCATTTGTGTAGATGATATTTTTCAGTCACATGATTTTAAAATAGTTCATTTTTGGTGGAAAACTTATATCTTAAAAAATAGTACTTTATTTACTAACACCAGAATTGCCAGTAATCAATGACTTTTGCATTAAAACATTTTAAAAATAAGCACATGAGCCTTTTGGGTTTTTGAGTCATTGACTTCTTGAGAATAATGAGAAATCAGAATTGAGTTAGTGTGCATAAGACCAAATTCTAATTTAGTGGCATAGCTTGATACTAAAAGAACATGAACTGGGTAATCGAAGATTAAATTCCCTGTCTTAAGTACTTGAGTGAATTAAAGTGTCATAATGGTTTCCTTTTTAAACTAACTTGTTCCTGTGAATTGGCAGCATTTGGCCTGGTCTCCATCCTTTGATTTGTTGGCATTCTTAATATTCTTTTGATTTAACTGTTTTAGAAGGTTGTTGTCATTAGAATTGTTTGTGAGCTGCAGAATTCCTGTCAAGAGATTAAACACATTCTGAATCCTTTTTTTTCCCTGATGTCCTTTTCAAGTGATAAAGATAATACAAGTGAGGCTAAGCTAACATTGCCATGCAGATATTTTATAATCTCATACTGCTCTAGGAGTATCAGCAGTGGCAGAGGCCTTAGTACCATCCTCCAATAGGCCAATAATGGAAATAAGTTGTGTGGGTGGTGAGAGGTACTGTGCAATAAGGCAGTGAAACATAAACCCTACCCTATTTTTTTAAAGAGGAATGCTTTGTATTTGTTTTTTTAAAAATAAGATAGTCATAAAAAGAGAGAAGTGTATGAGTGAAATAACAGTGAGAAAAGCACAGGTTGCTTACATCCTAGTTATTCATGTTGTTTCTTGACCTTTATTTTTCCAACCTAATATTGTAATGTGATGTGGGTTATATCATAGTCTGGATTATTAGAATTGGAAAGGTATCTTGTAGATAGCTTAATCCAGTACACTAATACTGATGGAGATCCTGAGACACAAAAGGTTAAATAATTGGCCAAATTCACATAGTTAATCTTACAGCCAAGACTGGAACTTAGTATCTTCTCTTTTTTCATTTTCACAGAGCTGAATTCCACCCTGCTACTCAGTCAACCTTTGATTTGTTGGCTGCAAATGCTGTAAAGTTTTAATCATTCTATATAGGAAAAATTCCCAACACATTTGGTAACTACATATACAATGGTATTTTATATCCAGACCTCAAATTCAGTAGTTCTTTGTGACTTGGCTTTTTTTGTTGTTTTTAACTATATTAAATATTTTTCATTTTGATGATGGTATTATTGACCTGACATTTTCTTTATACACAAGGCTTGCCTGTCATTAATTCTCATCTGTTCTATGAGGTTCTTAATCAAGAAAGAAGCTCTGTTGCAAACAGAATAATGCTTGCCCTTTTTCAGTATGACACATTTTTATGTTGATACCTATGATTTTTTTTTTTTATTTGGCGTGTTGTACTTTAGGACACTATTGAATTTTGGAGCTTGTTTGAACACATCCAAAAAGTGACAGTGCCCAAGATAACTTCAGTAGTTGGTTGACATTAGGTTATCTTGATTCCTCCCTCCCACTATACTTTCTGATTTTTAAAAAGAAGTGATTTCTTCCAGACTTAATAGATGTGGTTTATTTTAAAATTGATACTCATACAACCTTTTGAATTTCAGAATTCATTTTTTTATGTCTGTTGTTTTTTTAACTGTATATTTTGGTGCCTTAAATCTTAATTGATGGAGTATGTCCATTGAATATAGTATGTGTGCTTATATTTAGCACCAGGTCTCCTGACCCATTAATACTGAACAGTATGTTTTAAGTGACTTTTTGCCCTAACATCATAACAGAAATACATGTTTTAAAGATTAGTGTACGTGGGTTAGGAGAATTAAATACTTATAGCTGTGGTCAGAAATATAGTAATCTGCATAATTTATATTAATATATGATAATTACTGTAGAAGAATTGAAATCACTAAAAATGCTTTAAAATTCTCAAAGTGAATAAAATCTGCTTTAAACTCCCTAATTATAGAATAAATCTCAAGTTTGGTCTTCTTGCTGGCTTTTCCTTCCCAGAATTAAATTTACCTGACACAGTCATGGTCATACAGTTACTGACTAGATGAGTAGTTTTTTTTTTTTTTCCAATGAAACCATTTATTGTCAAAGCCTAGTGGTGCCAGTGGCAGCGTCCCCACTGAGGGGACCAGCCCGACCCCCATCTGTGAACGGGGGTCTTCTCTGCCTGAAGCCTCAGGGGCTGGCGGGAGACAACAGCTGAAGGGAGGGACAGTCGAAAGGAGGGAGTTCACAGTATCTGGGGCCTAACTTCCGGGTTCCCTGAGGCTGATCTAGACCAATGATGAGCAGTTTCACCTGAAGAAGCGGCAGGAATGCACATTCGAGGGATCTTTCGAGAAGCTTATCTGTGATTCTACAGCAGGCCTTAAGTCACATAGCTCCTTT